GGGTTTCCCAGGCTGTGAATCTTTACAGGGGCCGACAGCCTCTTCTTTCTCCAGGGCAGAGGCTGGTAGGTTTAAAGCACAGACCTTCCGGTTAGCAGCCCAACACTTACGCCACACCATCACACTCCCACACTAACCTCAGCGGTAGAACTGCTCTGGTGAGCTTGAGATGATCCCTCTGTCGGGGTAGGAAGCTTCCTCCTTCTCCCACAGAGCCTCTGGTGGTTTCAAACTGCTCACCTTGGGGTGAGAGCCCAACACATCAACATGACACCTCCAGGCTCCGTATATCCAAGGCTGCTCATTCAGATGCCTTTTCAAAGTGTGCACGGCCTGGCATTTGACTGGTGGGGGAAGAGCAGTGGTGAATTAGTGAGCACACGCCCGTCTAAAATCTGTTTGCTGGGTGCAGCTAAGGAAACCTGTTTGGAAGCTGAATCTGGCCTGTGACCCATCGGTTTGGACCTGCGCGTGTCCTTGTGGGTCTGAGGGCGTGTACAACACACTTAGTGCTGCTCTAACCACTGGCACGGGGACGTGACCGTCACAAACAGAAACGTTTTCTCACGGTTCAGGAGGCGAGGTCGGAATCAGTGTGCTAGCTCTTGTCTGCAGGCCCTGGGGTGCAGGGGAGGTCCCTCGATTGCTGGGTGATCTTCGTGTGTGTGTGGGGGGGGGGACGGGGACACGCAGGCGGGTAGGGGCTTGTCTTCTCCCCGCTGGGCTTCTTTTCCCCCCTTGTTGGACCTGCACCATTTATATCTCAGAAGAGATGGACAGAATGCGCCCCACATTCATACTATCTCACCAGCATTACAAAGAAACACACTCCCAACTGGGATTCTAGCCACAGGTATTGGGGGTAGGATTTGCAACTCATATTTTGGGAAGACACAGTTCAATCCATAACAATCAGGATTCTGGGTCTTCTGGGTTTGCATAAAATGGGAAGTCAGTTTAATTGCATAATAAAAATCACAACTGAACAGTTGGGTTGATTTCCCTCCTCTCAGGAATGAATCTATCGTTTCTTTGACCAAACTGAGGGCTCTGATTACTGACTTGCATTTTGTACCAAACTTCGTGGTTGGTTTAGGCACCAGGTTAAGAAGGTGGACTTGGGGTGCTGCACGGGCTAATAACTCCGACTTGCCAGCACGGGGTCCCTCTGGTACCCAGTTTTCCCATCTGTGCAGTGGGGATTCTTGCTACTGCTCCCAACACAGGGTGCTATGAGCATTATACATGGAAGAGCTCAGCCCAGCCTAGACTTAGGGCAGAATGGGTGTTGATATTATTTTAGGGTGGGGTGAGGGAGGGCGGACTCCCCTACTGCTTCTTCTCATTTTATTTCACGTAAGCCTGGAGCTTAATGATCAGTGTAACACCCATACAGGAACGAGCTTCTCTTACCCCGGTGATATAATCCTATATGCCACTTACATAAGCCTCCTTCCCTCATTAAATCCACCCACCCTCTGCTCTACTTCACACTGTTAAAGACTCTTTCTCCCAGAGGTTCTCAACCTGTGAGTTTGACCCCTTCGGGGGTCGAAAGACCCTTTCACAGGGGTCGCTCCATTCATTAAAGTAGCAACAAAAATAATTTTATGGTTGGGTGGGGGGGTCACATGAACTGTATTAAAGGGTGGCGGTATTAGGAAGGTTGAGAACCACTGTCCCGGAGGGAGGGAGACACCTAACTTCATACCAAACACTCCTTTAAAGCCAGGCCCATGGGGGGGGTGCGCTGGAGGATGGAGCTGGCAGTGTCTGTGATTTGGGGGCTAGCCTTTCATCTGGAGGAACTGAGGTGTGGAGGCTCAGAAGAGCTAGAGGCTCCCTATTCGTTCTTGGGAGTGGCTGATGGGAGGTCTGTAGAGCTGATGGACACTAAGCACTCTCACCCATGTGGGAGACTGGATGTTTCTTTAATTGGGCCATTGTTGTGGGTCTAAGATACCATCTCATCCTTTTACATCCCTCAGATGGCTGGTGATCTTGAGCCTTGTGTTAGCCATTCAAGTGGTGTCCTTTGTGAACTACTCACTTCCTTTGCCCATTTTAATTGGGTTTATCTTGAGGGGTTGCAGAACTCTGTAGATTGGTAGTCCTGGGTCTATCGTTGCTAGTGATTTTTTTCCCAATCAGTGGTCTCTCCTTTGGCCTTTTGATGTGTTTTAATATGTCCAGCCACCGATGTGTCTTCCAGTGCGTGCTTCCTTCTGTTGGGCTGTCTGTTATGTCCTGCGATAAGTTTGTCCCAATGCAGACCCTGACAGCTCTGGGGTTTACATTTATCTCGAGTTTGTTTTTGTGCATGGGGTGAACTTAAAGTCCTGTTCCATTCTTCTGCAGATAGAGATCCAGTGTGTCCAGCACCATTTGTTGAAGAGGGTCAGACACTTATACTTCTCAACTTATATACTCGAGTATAAGCAGACCCCACTATCAACCGAGGCACCTAATTTTACCTCAAAAACTGCATTTAAAATGTGCTGAAAAACCTCGCCTTCTACACGAGTATATATGGTAATTTTTAAACTTTGGGCATTGTCAGAACATAAATGATGTAAGAAATATATATTGTGATTTTGTAGAAATGAAGACAAAAGTTACACTAAATATATGTGGGTCCCTTGGTCCTGAGTGCCCCTAGAATCAGGTGTGTTAACCAGCAGAGACCTGTGCATCCCCCCCCCC